TTCACTACTTTCAATATATTAATTTATTTAATCCTCACAACTACCTTTTAAGAAAACACTTATATACTTCCCACTTTATAAATGACAAAGATAAGGCACAGAAAGATTTTTGAAGTTTTTCCTAAGTCATACAATACTATATAGTAAGGTACAGAATTTGAATCCAAGATCCAGATAATTTTTAATCAGTGCTGAACAATGCTCATAAGGAGAAATCACCTCCAAAATTCATTCACACCTTATCTGAAATAACTGTGTCTAGATAGATCTTGTCATTTGATTGAAACTTTAGAAATTATCGTTATTAATATGTAGAAATAGTTGTAAAGTGACAATTTCACATGTTCAAACTCATGGCAAAGAAAAGTAGTGAGATGCCAATGTAGGTTAAGTATTTATTGAGTACATATAACCCGTCAGTTTTTTTACTAGAAGTTGCAGATACACAGCTGAGCCAAACAGACCTGGACCTTCATTTAAAAGTTAATTAAATTATCCAAAAAGTTGAATACATAATTACAAAGTGGGTGAAGTGCTAAGAAGGAGGAAAATCTGGTGCTGAGAGTATGCAACAAATTGAACTGATTTGTTTTGGGTGTGGAATTAAGAAAACTTGCTTGAGGGAGAGAAACTTGAGTTGATTTTTAAAGGTTGAAGAGGAATGAGTAAAGCTCTGGGGGTGTTGGGAAGGATGGGACGAACTGAAAGAGAGGAAAGGAAAGGGAAAGGAAGGAAGACTGGAATAAATAAAAGGGAGTATTGCAGGTTGTGGAGAAAGGCTTTCTGGGAAAAACTAATAGCGTGGGTGAAGATTTGGAGTTCAGGGATATATGCATAGTTTGAGGGACTGAAGAAAGGCCAGTATTTCTGGAATGTGGAAAACATCCAGAAGAGGAAACATGGGACCAGTTAGGGATATGGAGTTTTTATCAAAAGAGTCATGGGAAACTACTAAAATGATTTAATAATGTTATTAAATGTACATTGTTACCAAATTATAGATGGAGCCTGTAAAATGCACTCTGTGGTCCATTGGAATAGTAGCATAAAGGTCTGTTTCATTACTGACGAAGAACTCAAAATAATTTTTTTAAAGATTTTATTCATTTATTCATGAGAGACACAGAGAGAGAGGCTGAGACCCAGGCAGAGGGAGAAGCAGGCTCCATGCAGGGAGCCCGACGTGGGACTCGATCCCGGGTCTCCAGGATCACGCCCTGGGCTGAAGGCAGACGCTCAACTGCTGAGCCACCAGGGGTGCCCTCAAAATAAATTTTTAAAATATATCTTGAAATTGGAATAGTTATAAATCTTTGAATCCACACAGTGTAAAATTGTTTCTGGCTTCTATTAATGGAAGCTGGATAAGTATTTTTTAAATATCTTATAATTAAATACTTATGTATTAAATACATATTTTACAAATCATATATATATAATACACAGTAATCAAAGTATTATTAAGTCATGTTTAAGGATAGATTTTTTAAAGGTAAAATAATGACTCATATAAATGTAAAATGAATGTATGTCAGAGATATTTAACTAAACTGATGATGAAATCATTAAGATCTTAAAACCAATTTCAAAAGAATATTTAAAGAACCATACATATATGTGGAATTTAAGAAAAAAAAAACCCACTTAAGCAAAGGGGTAAAAAAGAGAGAGGAAGGCAAGCCAAGAAAGAGACTCTTAACCATAGAGAACAAATTTAGGGTTACCAGAGGGGAGGGGAGTGGGGGATGGGGGGAACAGGTGATGGGGATTAAGGAGGGTGTATGGTGTGATGAGCATTAGGTGATGTAAGGAAATGTCCAATCACTATCTTGTACACCTGAAATTAATATTATACTGTATGCTAACTGGAATTTAAATAAAAAATTTTAAAAAATTACAGAACCACACATACAGAGGCAAGTAAGGAATGCAGAAATAGGTTTCCAAATAGATGTACAATGGGTCTGTCCACAAGTAATAATCAGTTCCACACCTAACACAACAAATGTATACTTCTGTGGGGAAGAATCTTTGCGTTGGTCTCACTTACCACTTGTAGGATTGCAAAAATAGTGCAAAGACAATGAAAGAGTGAGAAAGCCTGAAAGGGTAAGCTAGAGGAACACATTTTGGTCAACTTCTAAGTCTTTCAGAATTTTTCCTATACATATATAAATATACATTTTATGGCCTGTAAAAAGGCGGGTCTAATATCGGTCTCAAAGATAGCGCCATACTCTATAATAGATTTGACCTAAAATCAATGCTGTTATTTTTGGAAAGGCTCTATGGGCTCTCAGAGCACTTCTTTATTCTTGATGTAGGTCAGCTTCAGAACCTATGAATCCAGACAGATTTCAGTCAGGTGAGACCCTGAACAGGGAATCCAGCTGCAGGACATGGGACTCTTAACCCATGAAAACTGTGAGGTACTAAATTTGTGCTATTTTAAGCCACTAAGTGTGTGGTAGATTTTTACATGGAATACAAAACTAAGATAAATATATACTGTATGGTTCAATTCATATAGAGATCAAAATGAGGCAAAACTGAACCATGGTATTGCACGTAAAGATAGGGGTGACCTCTGGGGAGTGAGCAGCAGCAACAGTTGGGTGGGGGTAGGAAGGGCCTTCTGGAATCTGACAGCCCTCTATTTCTTGATCTGGGCAGGTGTGCTCACCTTGTGGAAATTCATTAAGCTGTACACTTGGGATTTGTGTACTTTTCTGCAGGTATAGCTTGGTTAAATATTATTGAAGAAAAACATGATTTAGCCTTCCTCTGAGTTTGTATTTCTGATTCCACTGCAAAAAAATACTGATCATATGAACATATATTGAGCCCTTATAATGTGCTACACAAGTTCTAAGAGCTTTATATGAATTAACATGTTTTTATATCTCAATTTTGGTTTGGGCATCCTTTTTAATACAGAAATTTGTTAATTTGATAGAGTCAAATATAAAGTACTTGCTCTTTAGAGTGTACTTGAATCTTGTTTAAAAATCTTTCCTTATCCTGTAATGCTTTTAGAATTAAATCAAAACGGAATTGATTAAACTGCTTCTAGGAACAAGTGTTTTTTGCCATATAATGCATTTAGCATGTTCCGTTATAAAGAGAAGTATGAAGTCTTTAGTGTGTATGGAAGGTGGTTTACCTCTCCCCACAGAGACACCTGTAATTAATGAAATTAATTAATTTCATTAATTATATTGAGCCTATTTTTTCTCTTTGCTTTGACAAGCAACATCACTTCTCAGGCCCAGCATTTAAGGATTCTATTATGAGATGAATCTTGGTCACAAGAAAGAGGCAGTATTGGTTCACCGGGACTTTTCTTCTAGATCAAACAGAAAGATGTCATTTGCGGTTCTCGAACAAGCCTCACGTAGAAAGTCATGGTCGCTTATACCAATCGTTCTTGCCATGTGGCTAATAATGTTTACTATTCTTTTTTTTTTAATGTTTACTATTCTTAAATAGGAACAAAAGCGGACTTATCTTTCAAAAATCATTGATATAGGCCTGAGATGATCTTCAAACTACTTGTAGGTGCACAGTTTGTTTCAGAGAGAACATAAAATGGTGATTTCTGAGTGGACTCTGACACTGGACTCTATAATAACGTATTCCTTTTTCATAGATACTATAAAAATCAGGTCATTTATAATTGTATGGTGTGGATGGAATGTAGATGCTCCAGGAAAAAAATTCTTATGCGTGGACAGCCTTTGTCAGCTTTCACTAAAGATTGAAGTGTTCATTTAAATACAATAAATTATTTAAGGACAGTACAATAAAGGTGAGATATATGGCATTACCAGAGGTACTCATTACATGAAAATATGCAGACTATTTCTACTGTGGGACCAAGAGGAAAAAATAAAACCAATAAAAATAAAAGGAAGACTTTTTGGTTTTGCCTATTACATTTTCCATAGAAATATGTTAAAAGTTTTAACCGTTTCCTAAGAGACCATTGTCTGCAATCACTGAGTGGCTTTTTTTTTTTTTTAATGAATGATAGAATAATTTCTTTAGGGATCATTATCACTTTTCATTACAGTCTTGGTTCAAATGCTCTCCTCAGTTTGGCGTTCCAAACAATTTTAATTACACGCATTAGAATTTTGAATAAATACTATATGCTGTTGATTCAAAATTCAAACAATTCAGAAGTGAAGACAGGGAAAAATCACCCTCCTAGTTTTGTCTCCGAGACCCCAGTTTTCCTTCCCCTGAGCAATATACGGCATCATTTCCTTTTGTACCTTTGCAGAAATATTTTATGTATACGCAAAGCAAATATGTACAAATTATATATGTGTGTATACTTTTCCTCTGTTACTCAGAAACGATCAAGCTGTTTTTAACACTTACAGACAATAAACCCCTTAAGATGAGAGTTTGCAGCTGCTTCATCTCTGTGATCTCTCCAGCACACTGAGATATATATAATACCCCCACCACCACCTTTCTTTTTTTCACATGGTGGCATATATACCCATTCTGCACTACATTTTGTTTCGTTTTTTAGATAACAATATGTTTTTCCACCTTTATTGAGAAATAGTTGACAGATGTCACTGCGTAAGTTTAAGGTGCCCTGCAGCTTGATGGGCCCCTTAAACTTGATTTCTGTAAATTGTGAAATGATCACTACAATAGGCTCAGCTAGCCAGCGTCCATCTCCTCATGTAGATACAATAAAAAGAAAAGAAAGAAGAAAAGAAGAAAGGAAAAAAATTTTCTCCTGTGATGAGAACTTTTCAAATATACTCTCTTACCATGAACATGTATCCTATAGTAGTGTTAGCTATAGCCCTCCTGCGCGTCATCACATTCCTAATATTGACCTATCTTATAATTGGAAGTTTGAACTTTCTGACCGCTTTTCTCTACTTCCCCCTCCCACCTCTGATAACCACAAGTTTAATCCCTTTTTTCTATGACTTTAATTCTTAGGGTTTTTTGTTATTTTTTTAGAATCCCTGTATAAATGAAATCATACGGTATTTGTCTTCTACTGTCTGATTTGTTTCACTAATAGAATGCCTTCAAGTTCTATCCATGTTGTTGCAAATAGTAGGATTTTCTCATTTCGTGTGGCCAAATATTCCATCGTGTATCTCGCACAACTTCTTTCTCTGTTCATCCATCGATGGGTCCTTAGTGGTGTCCGTGTCTCGGCTATTGTAAATAGAGCTGCTATGAACATAGGGGAGCAGTTATCTTCCCAAGTTAGTGTTTTTGTTACCTTTGGATATACACCCAGAAGTGGAATCTGGGTGGATCCACATGGATCACATGGTAGTTCTATTTTTAGTTTTTTGAGCATCCTCCATACCGTTTTCTGTAGTGGAAAAGCATTTCTTTTGCTTAGTGAGTTCCCTATCAGTACCGGACGTACTTTCTTAATCCTTTTTCATGATGGTATAATGTTGCATTATATGTAATACTCCACATACATATAATCTATTTTCACTCAATCTCCTCTACGTGCACATTTGGGTTTTGCCCAATAGTCTGCCATTATAATGTGCATGTGGTCACCCAAAATAGCGAACTTCAACTGAGCACTTAGTATGGTTTGGGCCCCATGTAAAATGCTTTACATTTAATTCTCAAGCTAGCTCTAGGAAGGCAGTACTTTTTTTATTCCTACTTGACAGATGAAGAAAACGAGAGGTTGACTAATTTGTCTAAAGTGAGAAAATGAGTAAGTGGAAGATTCAGAATCTGATTGCTGCTCTGTGTGTCTTCAAAAATCTTAGAACAGAAAATAATTACATGGATATTTACTAACAATCTCTATGTATTCAACATGCTGAGGAGGGAGATCTCATCCATACATCAGACAGAGACTCTTAACTTGAGGAGCTTATAGTTGTGTTGAAAGCAGCCTGATAATTTCTGAAAAATGCTAAGTCGGTCAATTATAGCAGATTTCAGTAAAGTGACAGGTCAGTAACAAAAATGTTTTGTGTACACAGAAATGACAGTTTAAAATCACATTCTCAATTTCAAGTTTTATGATTTAACTAAATAGCAAACCTTAAAAGGAGTAATTACAACATCTAATAAAACTAAATCTGCTTCTGATGTAATCACAGTAAGGTATAAACTTAATACCTAAATTTCAAAGATGACCACTTTTAGAGGTGAACCCAGAAAATATCTCAAAATCATTAATTATATAGCTAGAAAAAATATCTTCCAATAGAGGAAAATCTGAAACAAATATTAAGAAAATGAATGGCTCGAAAAGAATTCTGAAAACGGCTTCCCTGTTTCTAGGAAGAAGTTAAACTTAGTTCGATTATTGGATTTTGGAAATTTGTTTCATTCTTTTCATTGCCAATTTCCTTCAGGGACAAAGATTAGAAGTGTCAAAAATGACACGTAACCGACATTTCTTCCAAATGTTGGGGCTTTTGTAGGGATTGAAAATGTTATGAGGAAACTGGCTTCCAAATCTGCAGCCCAAATTTTCTTAAGTTAAAAAAAAGAAAAAGAAAAACCAGTTGTGGTACATCCAAAAGGCAGTCTTCGCAATGCAATGACTCTCCCCACTCGAGTTCCGCAGCTGCCCTTGAGTTTACTGCTCAGACTCCAACGTTTGCCCATCAGATTCCTGGTCTAATAACCCCTATGATTTGCCTACAGAAGGAGTGCCTGGGTGGCTCAGTGGATTAAACGTCTGACTCCATTTCCGCTCATGTCATGATCTCAGGGTGGGGAGATGGAGCCCCTAGGTGGGGCTCTGCACTCACCAGGGAGTCTGCTTGGGATTCTCTCTCTCCCTTTCCCTCTGCCCCTCCCCCGAACCAACTAACTAAATAAATAAATAAATAAACTTAAAAAAATTTTGCCTACTGAAACTAAAAAGTTATGGCCAAATTAGAACACAGTCATTTTTTTTTTAACTTTTGGCTTTTGAACTAGCAATTGAATCACAGACGCACATGCAGAGTCTTTGGCCCGAAACCTGACTTTTAAACAAAGTATTGAGAATTGTGGTAATTCTCATATACTCGAGTCTTTGAGCCACTGAATCAACAGCAAAGAAATTACAGGGGTTACCTACGGCTTCTTTCTTCCCTCATGCATTTAGGGAAAAACCAATGGATAGAAAGTGCACCAATTTAAGGGGCTGGGGAAGTATGTTCTCCACCTGGCTCTGCTGCCTCCTAGCAGACTGACCTTGTATGGGTCATGCACATCCATGAGTCCCCCAGAGTCCTCTTGCTCCCCTGAGTTATTGTGGAGTTAAGATGACAAACAGATGTGTAGGCTCTTTATCTCCTGCTACAAAAATGTAGAACATTAATACTGTTAATTAATAATATCTCAGCATAGGTTAAAGAATATTTTTGAAACATATACAATTCATTTCTGAAGAAAAAAGATAAAAAACAAGGAAGGATATAAAAATATTAACTATTTATAAATTCACAGTAGTATTTTTAAGTAATCTTATGATTTAAAAAATGATTTTAAATTATTATCATTAAAAATGATTTTAAATTAATAGATCAATCTATTAATCTATTCTTAATAGATTCTTTAAGAGCTATTACATGTTACTTTTCCACATTTCAATGAAGAGCACATTTGCTTCCTTTGATTAAGTTTCACAGTATAAAGTTTCACAGTATAAAGCATTGCTTACTTTCGATAGAATTGAGTTTCCACCAAGTCTATGAACATCTTTTGTTGCTGTTGAAGGATATATGCCTTAGGGTTTACAGTATCTCTTGCTTTTTGTTTTAGAAAAGAAATACGACTTAATCTGACAAGTGTGACTAATATGATCACAGCCCTTGGGAAATTCGATGGTTTTCTGGAGACATCACTAAAGAATACTGACTGAAATTACTCCTGCCTGACATATGAGTCGCTCTCTACGCCAAGGCCACAAACTGTCGGGATGAACAAACACCAAGATGAGTATCTTTAGCTAGTTGTTCCAACTAGTCCAATCACTGATGACTCAGACACATCTGCCAAATGCATAAGCTTATTAGCATTTTGGAGCCTCACAAGTCTCATGGAAAAATGAAAAAAATCAAGATCAGTTAATGAAGGCATCATCCAGGATTAGGGTTCTGGGATGTATCTGATATCAACATGATGTAAAAATAGGGATGCTTCAGCCAACAACAGGGTTGAGAAGAAAAATAGAAAGGACAAGTCCAAAACTATGAAGAAATGGGAGACAATTGTAAAGCCAAAGTGCTGCACGTTTCCCTCCCTGAAGAGGGAGGGGCAAGTGGAGAGAGAGCAGCAGCAGGTTTAGGTGAGAGACACAACGGCCAGAATGGCCTAGTGGTGAAGCAGGAGAGCTTCAGAGCCAGGCTGCTTTTCTAGCTGCGTGGCCTTGGGCAACTCTCTCAGCCTCTCTAGGTTTCAGTTTCATTATCCCTAAAATAAGAATAGTGGTAGGCAGTGCCTGCCACAAAGGAACACTCTAATGTTAATTTTCTCAGTACTATTAAATGGGCCGTACAGTTAATATCCAAAGTTATCTATGAATAGTATCTGACGTACAGGCAACTTGACAAACGATTCTTGATTTAATCAGTGAGAGATTGAACTATTGTTTTTAATTTAAAGTATCAGTTTCTCCTAAGCTTTGCTCTAGAAGTTAGTCTACTACAAAATTTGAAAATAAATCTGCATTTAATTTGTTGATATACCTAGAACAAGAAGAAAAATAAGATGTTTTCCCCTATTCATCTGCTTTCTTCTTACTCAGAATTAAATTATGTATATAGTTCAATATAAACACTGTCATTTTTATTCTATGATTGCATGAATAAAGTTTAAAGGATATCAAAGACATTTTGTAAGATCCTGATAGGGTAGTTGATTTCGTTACTCCATCTAGTTTCGCTTCTTAAGGCTAAACTCGATTCAAAGTTCTCTGGGTAGATATATGACATTTTAAAAGCAGCGAATTAAGTTAATCAGCGTGAGATATGGAGACTTGTGACTAACCAGGCAAGTTTCCTTAAAAAATAAATGAGACTATGCTGTGCGTCCTACGTTATGTTTTTTACAGCTGAAATAGTTCATCAATCTGATTCATTTGGGGAATTCTTACTAGAACCCTGGGAGAGGAGGAGTACAACCACTTTGCTGCTTGTGGTTCAGTTATATAGATATGATGTGCAGTTTAGAAGAGAACAAGGAAGACTAGAGCTCGCTGCCTTCTGATACACATTTTTCTGTTCTGGTCATGGTTTTGTGAACACGGCAGTAACTCTATGTGTCACAGTTTTATTTAATGACTATGGGTTGAATTCATCTGTATGAAGGGATGAGACTGACAGGGATTTAAAACATGATCTATTTGGCATTAAGAGAATACCAAAGGAACATTGGCATGGCACCGGCTACTCCTTTCCAAGGACATAATCAAAAGATAGTTGGACAACCCACACCACCCACAGTTCCCAGGTGGCTAACAAATAAATGGATCATTACTGGATAGGCTAGCAGAGCCTCATGATATTTGAAACAAATTGTCCGTGACTATTTTTCCAGTTTAGAAACATCTAGGAGCTCATTCTTTGCATTTTAAAAAAAGACTAGTTATTTTTACAGGAAGAACGTAACTGAACTTGAGGTGGGGGTACAACGATTTCTATTGTTCTGCTACGGCTGTCATTTTTCTCTTGCTCTTGGCAAAGCAAATGGTTTATTCTGAAATTTAGAATGGTTGTATTCTACTTTACATAATTTGGTTAATATATTTCTAAGCTTCACAGAAATGTGGTTCCAGTAATTAATAGGAATCTGTTGCACTTTTTGCTAAAGTCAATAAATATATTTCAATCTGCTTGCACATGTATTTGGTGATGGTTTGACAAGCTTGACAGGCATGACTAGTTTTGAAACCACAGAATTAAAAGAATGAATTAAACTAATTATTTTTAAATTACTTGGTCAAACAGGAGTTGGAATAATCTTCAGTGGATAAACATATGGCAGCTTAGCAGTTAAAAAGCACACAGTATTAAGCAAAAAAAGAAATTTTAGCATAGATATATAATTTCCCTTTCTCTCTAGGTCTATCCTACATCCTACAATTGAATTGTCTTAACAGCTTTATTGTACCATATATTATATCATACTCCATTTCTTCTTATCGCTAAATGATCCCTTATTCACACATAATAGGCCATATTTTGAATATACCATATTTTGTTTATCCTTTCTTCAGCTGACAAACATTGGTGTTGTTTCTGCCATGTGGATTGTGAATAACAATATGAACATTTTGTATAGGTTTTTATGTGGGTAAATGTTTCCATTTTTCTGGCATATACCTAGAAGGGATCTTCTCAGATCTTATGGTAACTCTATGCTTAAGATTTTGAGGAACATTTTTTTTTTCAAAGTGGCCCTCCTTTTACATTTCTTTTTTAAAAATATTTATTTATTGTTTTAGAGAAAGAGAATGCACAGGGGGAAAGAGGCAGAGGGAGAAGGAGCAAGACACTTAGGTAGACTCCACACTGAGTACAGAGCCTGATGAGGGGCTTGATCTCACCATCTGAGATCACAACCTTGGGCAAAAGCAAGAGTCGGACACTTACCCAACTGTGCCACGAGGTGCCCCTTTTATATTTCCATTTTCCACATCCTTGACAACACTTGTTATTGTTGTTTTTTTTTTATTATTTCAACCAAGCTAGGGATTGGAATGGTATCTCATTGTGGTTTTGATTTCATTTCCCTAATGGCTAATAGCGGTGAGCATACTTTTGTGTGCTTATTAAACATTTGAATACCTCGCTTTCGTAAAAATGCCTTTTCAGTTCCTTTTCTAATTTGTCATTGATTGGTCTTTTTTCAAATTGGCTTTTTTTGAAAAGAGCAGTTTTAGGTTCACAGCAAAATTGAGGGGAAAGTACAGGGATCTTTCACATACCCTCTCCCTCCCACAGGTACATCGCTTCCCACATTCTCAACATCTCCCACCAGACAGTACATTTGTTAAAGTTGATGAACCTACATTGACACGTCCTAATCATCCCAAGTCCATAGTGTACAACAGGGTTCACTCTTGGTGTTGTACTTTCTTTGCGTTTGGATAAATGTGTAATGACATCTGTCCATTATTTTCACTGCCTTAAAATCCCTCTGTGTTCTACTTACCTATTCAGCTATCCTCCCCCAAACCCCTGGAAACCACTTATCTTTTCCCTGTCACCATAGTTTCACCTTTTCCAGGGTGTCATATCGTTGGAATCATACAGTATACAGCCTTTCAGATTGGCTTCCTTCACTGAGCAATACGCACTTCATGTTTTCCCATATCTTTTCATGGCTTGATTGTTTCTTTCTCTTGAGCATTGGGTTATATTCCATTATCTGCATGTACCACAGTTTATCCATTCACCTACTGAAGGATATCTCACTTGTTTCCAAATTCTGACAATTATGAATAAAGCTTCTTTTTTTTCTTTTAAAGCTTCTATAAACATCTATGTGCAAGTTTTTGTGCAGACATAAGTTTTCAATTATTTGTCTTTTTATTTTTGAGTTGTAAGTGTATTTTATATATTTCAGACATGAATTCCTTATCAGATACATAATTTGTAAATATTTTTTCCAATAACATGAATGTCTTTTCACTTTCTTGCTGATACCCTTTAAAAAAGTTTTTGAACTTGCTAAAGTCCAATTTGTCTATTTTTTCTTTTGTTGTTTTGGTATTACATCTAAGAAGCCATTGTCTAATCCAAGCTTACAAAAGCTTACTTCTTTGTTTTCTTCCAAGAGTTTCATTGCCTGAGCTCTTATATTCATATTTATAATCCATTTTGAGTTGATTTTTATATACGCTACAAGGTAAGGGTCTAACTTATTTATTTTGCATGTGTATCCAGTTATCCCAGCATAATTTATTGAAAAGACTCTTCTTTCTCCATTGAATTATCTTGACAGTTTTGTAAAAAATTGACAATAACCTTACGGGTTTATTTCAAGATGCTCACTTCTGTTTTATTAATCTGAGTCTAGCCTGATGCCAGTAACACACTGTCATGTTTACTGTTGTTTTGTATTAAGCATTGAAACCTGGAATCATGAGTCTTCCACCTTTGTTTCCTTTTCAAAAAATTTGTTGGTTATTCTGAGTCCCTTGATTGGTTTCCATGTGTATTTTAGGATCAGTTTTTCAATTCTGCAAGCGTATAGCAAGGATTTTGATAGAGATTATGTTAAATCTGTTTATCAGCTTAGGAAGTATTGCCATCTTCACAGTATTAAGTTCCATGATCATGAGATATCTTTCCATTTGTGTATCTTTCCTACTTTTAATCTATTTCAATAATGTTTTATAGTTTACAGTGTTCACACTTAGTTTGTATATCTTTTGTTAATTTTTTTGAAATATTTTATTTCTATTATAAATGGAATTATTTTCTTAATTTCATTTTTGGGTTGCCCATTGCCAGTATATAGAAATCCATTTGATTTTTCCACATTGATTTCATATCCAAACTTGCTGAACTCATTTATCAGATATAATCACTTTTTAGTGGATACCTTAGGATTTTCTATGAAAGGTAATATCATCTTCAAATAGATACACTTTAACTTTTTACTTTCCAATCCAGTTGGGTTTTATTACTTTTTCTTGCCTAACTGACCTCCAGTACAATCTTGAATAGAAGTGAGAGCAGAGATCCTTGCCTTTTTTTTCAAACTTAAGATGGATGGATTCAGTCTTTCACTATAGAGTATGATTTTAGCTTTGAGTTTTTCATAGATGCTCTTTATAATGGTGAGGGCATTCCTTTCTACTCCTTGTTTATTATGAAAGGTTGTTGGATTTTTGTAAAGTGCCTTTTTTTGTATCTCTTGAGGTAATCATATAGTGTTCTTTATTTTATTACTATGATGTATTACATTGACTGATTTTTGTATATTAACAAAACTCACATTTCTGGGATAAATTCCACTTAATCATGGTGTTACTTCTTTTTATATGTTGCTGGAATTGATTTACCATATTTTGTTAAGTGTGTTTACATCTATGTTCATAAGGGATATTGGTGTATATGTTCCTTTTCTTACAATGTATTTTTCTAGCTTTGATAGCAAGATAATTCTGGCTTCACAGAACGAGATGTAAAGTTATCCCTCCTCTTTCTTCCTTTCTTTTTTTTTTTTTTCTAAGTTTGGAAAGAGTTGGTGTTGATTCCTCTTTGAATATTTGGTAGAGGGGTGCCTGGATGGCTCAGTTAGTTAAGCATCTGCCTTCAGCTCAGGTCATGATCCTAAGGTCCTGGTGTCGAGCCCACATTGGGCTCCCTGGTCAGTGGGGAGTTTGCTTGTCCCCCCCCCCACTCATGCTCTCTCTCTCTCTTTCTTGCTCACTATCTCAAATAAATAGATACAATATTTCTTTTTTTTTTTTAAATAAATGTTTGGTAGAATTCACATGTGAAGCCATCTGTTTCTGGGCTTTTCTTTGTGGAAAATTTTTTATTACTAATTTATTTTTTCATTATACATCTACTTAATGGACTAGATTAAAATTTTAATCTTTAAACTTCAAGGGGAGTATTATCATGGTGATGAAGAATATGTGACCATGTAGAAAAATATTATATTCAAAACTAATAGAGTAAAATGAATCTTTGGTCATTTTTGTCCACCTGGCAGCCAACCTCTTTCCTATTTAAGAAAAATCCTCAACATGGAAGTCACAATCTTACTGAAGTGTAAGGAGACCACAGACCTGAGGTTTGTCAGTTGAATGCTTCTGCTTGACACTGAATCTGGAGGTATTATGGCAAAGTCATGGAAGATAACATGTGACTACTTTAGGAGTGGTTAGATATGGAGGAAGTAATGAAAGAGGTTAAATGATGCTTCTAGACAGTTGGGGTAAGTACACAGAGATATGACCAGGAAGGGCTAACTCTGTGTGTGTCATAGTTTGAAATTTTGGTCCAAATTTCCCTTGTTATAAGCTTTATAAGCTTTTTATGAAACATAACAGTTTCTTTCATGAGAAGAATGAGAGTTCAAGTCTTCTTATTTGAAAAGGAGTTTGAGTTATTCAATATCTCATAAGGACTTTGCAAGTACAATAATTTAGCAAGTAGATATGATTTGGAATAAAGTGTCAATCCTGACAGGTTAGTTTTATTTTATCTTTTACAGGTTAGTAAATTTTATCTTTTCCTATAACAACAGGCTAATTCCTTATATCTTATTCAATTTATACTGATTCCTTCTAACACTTTCTTTGATTGATCTGATCAATGACAAAATTTTAAACCAGTCTAATTCTTGGTTCAACACAATGAATCTTTATTGAATGTCTGCCCATCATAGTGATACAATCATCAACAACAGAATCCCTAAAATCAAACAGTTTACTGTTTTGTGGGTAGAGGCATGCGTGGTTATAAATATGAGGCAGAAAACAACCACTTCTGCAAATGAAGTACAGTTTTATAGTGGAGAAGAAACAGATTTACAGCTATGGGAACTTAGAAATAAATCTTGGGAAAAGTGTTATTTGAGCAGGCCTTGATGGATAATAAGATGATTCTAAATTAGATTTGAGGAAAGAGGCAAACATGATGAAGGTAATTGCATGATCAAAGAAAAGAGCCTGTGAGTATGGCCAAAATTTGGCGTGATTTAAGTTTATGATACATGAGTAAGAATGCAAATAATTAATTTTTATTGAGTATATACTATGTAACAAACACAGTTATTTAAACATATATTAGTTGATCAGCTGATTTAATCTTCACAAATCTATGTGGTAGATCCTATTACTCATTAGCCTCCCCACTTTATATATTGGGGGGGGGGGAATACGCAAATAAGTTAAGTGACTTATTTTGGTAGACAGACTCTTAGATGGCTTCCTGTTATCCCCACCTCCTGCTACAAGTGGGTAGGAAATGTGACTTGCTTCTTACCAACAGAATATGGAAAAAGTGTTGAGATATAACTTCTGTATTTGGTTACATAAGATTATAACTGTTATTTTGCTATCAGTCTCCCTCTATTGATTCTTGCACTAGCTTTGATGAAGTAAGCTGCCATATGGAGAAGACCATGTGCCAAGGCACTGAGAGTGGCTTGCAGCTAATAGCTAGCAAGAAGCTGATGTCTTCAGTCTAATAACCTATGAGGAAGAGAATCCTACTAACAATGAAGTGAGCTTTGAAGTACATCGTTTCCTCGTCTAGTGTCAAGTGAGGCAGCCCTGGCTGACGCCTTGAGTTTCAGCCTTGTGAAACACCCTGAAGCACAGAACCCGTTAAAGCATGCCCAGAGTTCTTAGCCATGGAAATTGTGAGAGTATATCTATGTGTTGGTTCAAGCTGCTAATCTTGTGGTTATTTGTTACACAGCAAGAGGTAACTAAATAACACACTTGCCCAGGGCCATTCAGCAGTAAGCTCATGAGAAAGGATATGAAACTGGGCAGTTTGGCTCTCATTTGGGAAATTTATGCTGGCAGGTTCAATTTAAGAAGCATTTTACACGAGAATGTTTTCTTTTTTTACATCAACAATCACTCTTCTGATACGAGTTACAACTATAAAATTTCTCATCATAAAAAGCCAAAATTAATGGGTTAGATCTGGGAGTGAAGTACTTCTATTTAGGGGAGTTATTAGATATCTATTTGCATCATTGATAAGTAGATATTTTTAAGATTGGCCTGGGTAGAGCAAAGACTTGGACTTTGCCTGCTACTGGCATTTAGACAAACACAATTTTAATACAGGCCCTTGCAGCAGTCATTGTATATGGGAGATTATGGAGTTTCTGATACTGGATTTGCTCTAAGAGAGAATATTATCTAGCGCAATCATCCACACTTTAAACATGGCTCCAGAGTTGAACTCTGGAGAGTTGAACTCTCCAGAGTTGATAGTTCAGAGTATGGCTTGGAGACAAATACCAGTTCTAAAGGCATCTGCATGCTTTGCATAGGAGGGGACTGTGTGGTACTTGAAAGAGCTATTTCCCTTGATGGCAAGACCCTGGGCTTTATTCAAATGTGCTAAGGGACCCCACAAAAAGTAAGATAGTAGATAGAATTTTTCTCTCTTGACAGATGTAACAAGAGAATTCCAGCTCCTAAGAGAGGAGACATTACTCGTAAAGTGTCTGTGGATATGTCTGTGCCTGGGGCAAGAAGCCCAGTCCACTAAGTTATGACAAGAACCAGCGAGCAGTACCCATAAATACTCAGATGAAGGTGGGGATGGGAGACTTTGTGGTCAAGAGATGGTAATTGTTAAAAAACAACAACAAACAAACTATAGGCACTAAGTGGAGTCACTTATGCTAGGTGAAACCACCAACTGGGTTTCATATCTAATCTAATTCCAATCTCCCCTAGAAATGCAGTCTTAACCAGTCCATCAGGAATTTTTTGGTCAGAACCAATAAGGTAATGTGTGACATGGCCTTCTCCATCCCCCAAAGGAAGAAGACTTAGTTCACCTAATAAGGCCCTTTTGTCCCCAAAGGAGGGTGACTTCACCCAAAACAATCCTTTTTTTTTTCTTTTTCTGTTTATGACTTCCTTGTCCTGCCTTTGAAAACCTTTCCCTCTCTGTAGCACCCTATTTGCTAGATACAATATTTCTTGATTCATTTAACAAAGCCAATTAAATCCTTAAAACTTGTTCAGTTTAATTTTTGTTATTTAACAGAGTTTCGGGATTGGAGTGTAACGTAGGTGTAAAGACATTTTCCATGTAGGCTGATAAAACTGGGACATTTAGGATATACAAAGATTAAAGAAAACAAATAAGCTATGAAATGCCACAGCACACTTACTCACTTGTCCGTGCCCAATCTCTCCTGTGTACAGTTGGCGATCACTTTTTTGAAGAAACTTGTTTCTGAATATTTTATGCTGGAGTTATCTGAAAATACTGAATAAAACCATGGAAATAAATTATTTTTGAAAATGAATGTGTTTGTTACGTTAATCTACAGTTACTACTGATTAAGGGTCTCTTTGGACAAGAAAGGGAGAGAGACTATTGAAGGCTGAGTACAAATGGAAATACCTCCATTAAGAAGTTTTAAATTCACTGAATCAGACTGAAACTGATGATTTGATCATATTTGTCAAGTTAATGTCTACAGACTATAGTCTGTGAAAGATAGTGCAGTTATGCAAATTTATGCATAAAAATAAAAATCCCATATGTGCCTAGAGGGAGAGATTTCCAGACAAAATGCTAATGATTTGAGATAACAATATTTAGCAGTTCTACAGATTTTAATTCAAAGAACTCAAAATGTCTTACAAGTCTATTATCTGTTAAGTGAAAGCTGGTGGTATTATTTTCCTGTTGTAAATTTCAAAAGCGACATTTTAATTGAACAGAAATACATGCAAAAATAAAATCTTTGAAAGGGAAAACACCTAATGTAAACCTTATAGGAGTTTGAAACATCTCACTGACCCAAGCGCATTTGATGCATGTTAAAATTGCATGCAAATTTGAGCATTGTAAGCATTTTAAACATTATTCTATTCCACGGCATTTACATTTTTACTATATAAGCTAGTAGTAAACATTTTTTAGACAGTGTGAATTCTAGATTACGTGAACAAAATACAGCTGCTGCCTTAAGGAATTTACAAACTAGTGGAGAAAAAAAACTTGTGAATGGCTCTAACGTTAACCAGATATTATGTGATAATAAAGAGCTCTACAGGAGGCCCCTAGAAGAAACAGAAGAAGACATAATCGTCTGTGATGGGCACTGGAAAGGTCAATGAAACCAGATTTTGAAGAATGCGTAGGATTTCCCAAGTCTAATTAGAGGAAGTAAATTTGGGGGGTAATAGAATAATGTTAATGAACTGCCAGAATGTGAAGTGCAGTAAGTAGAACACAAGGGCCTGGACTGAAAGGACAGATCAAAATTGGACTAAAGCAGAATTGTTTTCTTTCTTTTTTTTTTTTTTTTTTCAGAATTGTTTTCTTCAGGTCAAGGCCAGATTAAAGTGGGATGGGATTCATCGGGTAATAAACAACCACAGCCCTTTGAACATGACAGCGACAGAATTATGTTCAATTTTTAAATCCATTCTCACAAGACCAATGTTATAAATCTGAAATAGGAAAGACAGGAATAGAAGCAGTTTATAGGAGAAGATGATAATTTTTGTTTTGGACATGGAATAAGAAACCGTTCGTATGAAGTCTTGGCAGTGATTTCCTTCACCCACACCCCTACCTTGCCCAACCTGATTTCTTTCTTTCTTTCTTTCTTTCTTTCTTTCTTTCTTTCTTTCTTTCTTTCGTTTATTTATCTGAGATAGACTTACATGCATGCAAGTGGGGTAAGGGGCAGAGGGAGAAGGAGGGAAAATCTCAAGCAGACTCCACACTAAGCATGGACCCTGAGATCATGACATGAGCCAAAACCAAGAGTCCATTGGTTAACTGACCGAGCCACCCTGGCTCTCCTCCTTTTTTTTTTTTTTTTTTACTTAAGACACTGAGAATCCCAGAGATCACCTACTTGTTATTATATGTCCAAATCCATACAGTAAATCAGTGGTGTTTTGAGGTTTTGATGGGATGCTCCATGGAGACTTCCAGCAGGAGGCTGGCAATGTGAATACAGACATCACTCTGGAGTTGAGACTTAAACTTACAGATTTGGGGCTCCTCCTCATAGAATTTAAAAGAACATTCACGGGGTGGGGGAGGGAAGGTAGGCAAGAATAAAGGATAAGGATAAAAGATAAATTCTTCGATGAAATGTGGCCACACCAGGTAAGTAAGAAGGCATGGTTTAAATCAACTGGAAACTACTTTGGCACAGAAGCCCTGAGTCTCAGTTTGGAGAGTCTGAATTTGAACCCAGACGCTTTGTTCTTCCTGTAGATTCCTACCTGGAATCTTTGAGACAAAGGACTCCTTGCTGACAGTTTTGTTTGTTTGTTTTCAAGATTTTATTTATTTATTCATGAGAGACAGAGGCAGAGACACGGACAGAGGAAGAAGCAGGCTCCATGCAGGGAGCCCGACGTGGGACTCGACCCCGGGTCTCCAGGATCACCTCCTGGGCTGAAGGCAGATGCTCAACCTCTGAGCCCCCCGGGCTGCCCTGCTGACAGTTTTTTGAAGGTTACGTACGTTTTCTCATTTAATTTTCACAAAGATTCTATGAGGTATGCACTTTTCTTTTTCCCATTTTATAGATGAGTGAGTTGAGGGATAGGCAGTCTGAGGAACTTGCCTAAAGTCACACAGTGGAATGGCTGGGATCACAGCCCACTCATTCTGAACCCTGGAATCCATCCTGGCGAATACCAAGTGTATGTGCCTCTGTTCTTTCATTTTCTCCTCATAGTCACTCTGTTTATGCATCTACCGAGACAGGAGCTTCATGGATCTGAAAGCTGTGAAACGGAAAATAATCAATGTCACTTAATAAAATTTAGTTTGTCTTCTTTTTCTTATGGAGAAATATATAACCTTCAATTTTTTAAAAATACCAATGACTAGAACTTTGATTATGCCAAAAAGATCTTTATGGGCAGAAAAATAAACAGGAATAAAATGAGGAAGAGTGAGGGAAGCAAAAAAGAAAGAAAAACAAAGAGAATTAGAAACCGATTGAGAGAGAAGAAAACATATGTAAGGCGTTTCATACAAATTTATGAAACTCCTACCATGTAGCAGGTGCACTGCATACTGTGGCAGCATCTGTTGGTTTCCCACTCGGCCAGCCCTCACTCTCCCTGCCGTCACCACCCCCCCCCATCAGAGACTAAGATCACCAAGTACCCTGACAGCTGTGGCATCAGTATGTAACCCAATCTTGTCTAGATGAAGACATAAAGAGGTATACGAGGAGAACCCAACCCTCCTGCCCAGTTGTGATGTGTGGGAGATAACACCTGGAGCCTTGGCAGCCATCTTGCAGCCATGAGGGTTCATATCTAAGGATGAAAACCAAGAGAAATATGGAAAGCCTCAGTTCTTTATGACATCATGAAGCCACCAAAGTAACCAACTCGATGGTTATCTAACCCCTACACTCCTTGTCTATTAGGATAATGCATACATTCATTGCTTTGGCCTCTTTTAAATAAGTATTCTGTTAGTTGCTGCTGAAAGGATCTTAATCGCACTAGCATTCACGGAATTCACATTCCCTGAATGCGAAAACTCTTGTATGGCAAGTCTACAAAGACTCCACCCAGTGCTGGGAATGTGGCCTCCTCTGAGTTGCCCATAGGCTTCTTGATCTGACTCCACAAGGAGACAGGGAGGAATATGGTTGGCATTAAGGTCACTGACTCACACCCCTCTTGTTAGTCTTTTGCTCAGTTTTGATGGAGAAAGCAGCAGTCACTGCCCAGGAGGGGTAAAAACCCCTCAGGGATGAGAATCTCTGTCACAGCAGGAGATTTGCTACTGAGATAAACAGGTGAGAGCTTAGGGTGAGGGGATCTTTACTAAATTGAAAAGAATGAGACCATTAATATTGTCCTGGAGCGGTAGGGACTATGGCTTATTCAGTGACCTTCCTCTTAGGAATTTACTTTGGGAAAAAGGCCACTAGAATTTCCATAAATAAGTGGATATGAGTGGTGCAAGGGGTGGACTGCAGTGAGTGCTTTGGTATGCTGCCCAAATCCCTCTTCAGATATCAAGGGCTTATTTCCCTGGGTTGTTGCAATTGCTGCTGTGACATCGTCCCCAGCTCTCGACCTTCCCAGCAAATTGCCTCTACTAAAGACAATTGCCAAACCCAAGGTCATGCCCCTTTCCAGCACAGCCTGCAGGCCATGCCTCCTCATCTTGGAGGTAAAAAGGCCCTGTTCCCTCACTCCGTAGGACAACTCAGAGGGACCATCCAAGCTTCAGCAGGGTCAAGTGGGGCCTTCCCTGAAATAACATTGCAGTCCAATGTCTCCTTCTGCCCAATCCTGTTTCTTTCCACACATGTTTATCTCAAGAGTGCGTTATAATAAACTGCTTGCAAACTAATTGCAGTCCCAGTGTCTTCTTCCCAGGGAACCCAGGCTGCAACATCCGGGCCGAAATCAGAGTAGGCTTTTCTGAGGAAGTGATCTTAAGTTCTGCAGAGTAAATAAGAATAAATCAAAAGAGGGGGCCGGGACATGTAAGTCAAAGGCAACGATCCTCAATAGGAGTGATTTTCATACCACCTCTTGCCTCACGAGGCATTTGGCAGTGTCTGAAGACATTTCTGGTTATGAAAACCGGAGGTTCCTACTGGCATCTATTGAGTAGAGGCCAGAAATGCTGCTGCACATCTTACATCATGCAGAAAAGCCTTCCACAATAGAGAACGATCCAGTCCAAGATGTTGGTGGTGTCATAGTTGAGAAACCCTGGCCTACGGCAGTGGTCAATGCACAGGCTCTGAAATGGGAGAGAGTATGAGACATTTGAAGAATTAGAAGCCTAATGTATCTGGAATACAGAGTGACAGGGAGGCAAGAGGAGGGAAGCTGCAAAGTAGTGCAAAGAAAGTTGATTGTTTTTTTTTTTTTTAAATATTAATGGAAAGCCATTGAACGTTTCTATGCTAAGGACTAAAATGATCAGCTTTATGTTTTTAGGAAATCATGCAATCTAGTTCATACGTAATGAACTGGGGGGAAAAGAGAAGTTATCTAAAGATCATGTGGAGCATGAATGTTGTGTGGGGGCTAAGAGAAGGCCACCCCAAGGGGGGCCATTTTGGCATATTTTGAGTTAAAAGCAATCCACACCCAGCAGATTCAGAAAAACCACCTCAACTGCCCACTCTACCAGGAAGAGAGCTATTCACAGAGACTCCCTTTTATCTAAGAAACTCACCAGCATAATAAGACAAGCTCTGTTTTCTAAACATCTCCCTTCACCTTTGTGCTAATAGGCTTTCTCCCCTTTATATCTTCAGACACCTACCCCTCTCCTTAGCTCATACAAGCTTCATGCTGCCTGGCTGTCTTTGGAATTTCCATGCCTGTGTGGATTCTCCATACGTATGCTATTAAATTGGATTTTTCTCCTGTTAATCTGTCTCATGTCAGTTTGATTCTCTAAATCCAGCTGGAAGGACCTTGAAGGGCAGAGGGAATTCTTCCTCCCCAACAGTGGCTTCAATCAGCATGGCGACAGGGTGAAGGAGAAAGTATTTAAGAAGTACCTGGGAGGAGGAAGTAATAAAACCTAATCACAGAGAGAGACAACATGATGTCATGTTTATATACACAGACTCTGGAGGCAGAGGACACGGGTTCAAATTCCAACCTTGTCATTTACTAGTTTGGCAACCTTGAATGGTTTATATTTAATGTCTCCATGTTTGGGTTTTTGGTTAACCTGCTGTTATGACTATGAAGTGAGTTAATTTGAGGAGTGCCCAGCACATGATAAATACTATATAAATCTTAAATAAGTCAAATAAATACAGAGATACAGGGTGTCTCCATGGTTCTGGCTTTTCTGATTTATGTAGCTGTAGGCAATTATGCCATTCTCTGCACTGAAGAATTGGGATGAGAGTCTTTTGTTTTGTTTATTTTTTTCCTTAAGGGTTAAAAGAGTGGGTGGGGTCACACACAGGACAGTAGTCAAAACCTCTGAGAAGCCAAAACTTTATTTCTAAGGAGATATAGAGGACTGTTTTTAAAAAGTGCATCCTGAATATTTTCTAAAAAAGAAAAAAGAAGAAGAAGAAGAAGAAGAAGAAGAAGAAGAAGAAGAAGAAGAAGAAGAAGGAAGAAGAAGGAAGAAGAAGAAGAAGAAGAAGAAGAAGAAGAAGAAGAAGAAGAAGAAGAAGAAGAAAGAGGTCCATACTAAACAAAACACTTTGCTATAAACCAGGAATATCAAGTAAATATTGCCTCCCCAAACTTTCATTGCAACAAAATATTCTAGGCTTGATTCTCCTTCTTTCCAAGAAGTAATTAAGCAGTGAGCTAATATTGATTCAATTATCTTTTACTACTTTGTAACATTAACTTACTTATCAAAGTAAAGACATTCTCCTCTCAATATATCAAGAATTCCATGAACTCTAAAGATAGTTTTAAGTCTCTGAGTTAATACTCATCTTATTCTTATTTAAAAAACAATTTTTTTCCCTTTCCTTCAGATGTATACCCTCTTCTTATTATGCAGGACCAGGATTATAGCAAAACTAATTTAAAAAATAATATTTGTGGATATCATTTTACCCAGGTGGTTGGAAGCAAATCTAAATTTGTAAATGTATCTATCCATGTGAAGACATCAAAGAAAGATACATTTGAAGTGCAATCATTCAAAATTGTAATGCTAAGGACTATATTTCTTTGCACAAAAATGCTGAGAATCTTTGTTTTTTTTCTAATTGTTTACTTAGAGCATAGTGTTTCAAAAAAATGAAAAAGATTTTTAGGAGTATTGTGCCTGGCAACATTTCTATTTCTCTACTTCTACAATCTAATTTGGTTAATTGCATGGATTATTAATATGAATTTTTTTAAAAAAAGAAATTAATTTAAAAAAAAGAAATTAATAGAGGGCTTAGGGAATTTATGTACTGCAATCCTAAAATAGAAAAAAAAAATCCCAGTGATCAATTTGAGGTGTTAATTGCATAGAGGAAAACAGAAGTTGTTTTACTTGTATAGAGTCTGATTCTAGAATTTTGTGAATTTATGCAAGATGAGGGGAAAAATGTTTGCTTCCTAGGTTCCTTTAAGCGTAAAATGGATCATCATTACCCAAGCCACTTACTTATATCCTTATGTCTTGCAAGGATATTGAAGTTTAACAAGTGTTCTTCTAAATATTATCTTACTCGATCCTCAAAAGACCCCAATGATACATGTATGGTAAAGCACAAGGGCTGTTTTACTGATATGGTAACCAAGAAGCAGATGTGAAGGCCACGTAGTAGATCTAACACACATCTGAACTTAAGTCCTCTGACTCCAAGACAAGAGCTATTTATTTCACTCCACCGTGATTTCCATTATGTGTGTTTTCTTCACTTGATTCCATAAACTTGGACCTTCTAAAAGAAGTCAAAGGACCTGATGAGATCACCAACATCAGCTGTTCTTGTATTTTCAGAAATATCTCAGAACTTGATGTAGTGGTGTAGTCGTTCAAGGCCTGTTCAAATCCAAATCTTCCTTCTATTTTCTGATAACCTTTGTTTTTAAAGTAGCAAAGATTTTACTTATATTTTAATTCGTCTTCCAGGGAAAGGTACCCACACTGTGCATGGATACGTTTAGCTGTCATGCAGTTCATGGTAGAAAATATTGCCTTACTAACTGCATGAATTGAAACACCTGTGTCTCAGGCATAGGCAGGCTACCGACCAGTCACTTGTAGCCCAAAGTCCTCGAGGGTCAGACAGTGATTTTGCAGGACTGAAGTCATTCTTATTTTCAGAGTCATTTGAAAACCTGTCCATTGAGGGCAGGGGCTCTGCTCGTTCGATATTGCATATCCAAACTGAGTGCAGTGTCTGGGACATAATATGTACTTAGTAAATATTTGTTGAACAAATGAATATGTGACTTTAATCATTCTCAGCAGGCCTCCAAAAGACTACATGCCCTTTAACTTCCCATTCGGCAATTATCTATTCAGTCAATCAAAAGATATTGAGTACTTTTACATGCCAGACAATTGTAGGTACTAGGGACACAGAAGAGAAAGAAAAATTCATTGGATTTATATTCTAGTGGCAAGAAGTCTCCAACTTAATAACAGGAATGAACAAAACAAAGAATTAAAATGGTAGATGGTGATAAGAGCCAAGGGAAAAAATAAGTCAAAACCTAGAGATAGGAAATATTGGATTGGTTCTCATATCACAGGCAAAGTAGCCAAGAGCCACTGTAGTTGATGAAACTATTGTTATCTCCAGTTCATGTTTTTAGCCACTAAACTGAGTATCTTGAAATTCACAGTTGTTTTTATTTTACAGGCTTGCAATCAAGTTTTTTTCTTTTTTTTACTAGGCACTACATACATATATAAATGCCATAGAATTTGTCATCTAAGAATTTTAATTTTAAATGCTGCCCCCTAATAATGGAGAAGGTTTTATAGGGTGCACCTGGTACACGTTAGGTGGATTCCTGATCCTGGAATGGTGTTCCAATGCAAGCTTTTGAAGCTCACAGTCCCAAACAGACAAATCGGACCATTTTCCCCCTGTCCCCCTTCCTTCCTCCCTCCCTCCCTTCCTCCCTCCCTTCCTCTCTTCCTCCCTTGCTTCCTTCTTTCCTTCCTTCTTTCCTTCCTTCTTTCCTTCCTTCCTTCCTTCCTTCCTTCCTTCCTTCCTTCCTTCCTTCCTTCCTTCCTTCTTTCCTTCTCTTTTTTTCCCAGTAGTTTTACCTAGTGCTATGGGTCTTCACAGTAGAGTTAAGTCTCCAGACACTCAGGGACAAATCTTGTGCCTAAGAAGGAGCTCTTCCAATAAAGACATGTGTCTGTCAGTTGAACTCTCCAAACTTAAATGACATCACTACCTAAGAACACCTTTGACCAAACTAGTCATTTTCCTCTTGTTTAACCAATGTGTCTAGAAATGGATTTGGTACAATAATTATGACATTTAAATGTATGTTGTCGATTATTATTTGTTATGTAATTATTAGAGATGCAGTTAGATTTTTAAATAAAACTTCTTTTAAAATGTGTTATTTCTAAGAAAAAAATGTATTCTTTCTGATTTTACTTCTCTCAGATTAAATGTCTTTTTAGAGTATTTGTGACATAATAAAATGAGCATTTTGAATGTGTTTAATCTCTAATAAACAATACTTTAAAGGTTTCCTTGCTATTTCACTGTTATTCTTGAGCTGGTTCACTGATTTGCAAATGTAATATTTCTTTGTTATTGGCTTTTCATCCCTTCCAAGACTTTCTAATACTAGTTGTACCTCCCCCCCCCCTCAAAAAAAGCTCTAAAATTCTGTTCAGTTCTGTACTAGGGACAACTTTTTCTTTTCTTTTTAAAAAAAAATTGTATTTATTTATCCATGAGAGACAGAGAGAGAGGCAGAGATGTAGGCAGAGGGAGAAGCAGGCTCCCTGCAGGGAGCCCGATGTGGGACTGGATCCCCACTTGGGGATCATGCCCTGAGCCAAAGACAGACACTCAACTGCTGAACCACCCAGGTCTCAAACTTTTTCTTTTCTTAACTCATGGCTCCATCAACCTAGTTTATTTCACTGAAGTCCTGTGATATGATTTTTGGTATTTAGCAAATTGTCTTTATTCCTTGTCATCATATCTTGTAAAATACTTTTGTAATATCCAACTTTTTGCAAATTGTCTAATTTTTCCATTTTTCTCATTTAAAAAAATATGTATTATAAAGCAAGTCTTAGTAAGAGACATGAAAAATGTCACCTGGCATTAAATAATTCAGTTTACTAAAATCCATCTTAAAATATTACCTGCCAAGGGGGCAGAGAGGTGAAATAGGTAAAGGGGATCAAAAGCACACTTACCCTGATGATCACTGCATTATGGAGAGAAGTGCTGAATCACTATACTATACACCTGAAACTAATAACATATTATATGTTAATTATATTTAATTTAAGAAAGAGAAAAGAAAAAAATACATTGCCTGCCAAAGATCCCTGCCAGGGATCTTTACTTTGCTTAGCACGTGAGAGATGTTCCATAAATATTGGTTGGGTAAATTGCATTCTTTTCAAAGTAATATGTTCAAAAATTGTTCCCTTGTTGCTATGGCCTGAATTGTGTCCCCACAAAATCCATATGTTGAAGCTCTAGCCCTCGGTATCATTGTATTTGGAAATAGGGTTTTTAGGATATAATTAAGACTAAATGAAGTTCATAAGGGTAGATTCCCAATCCAATAGGATCAGTGGCCTTATAAGAATAAGAGAAATTTCTTACCCCTTCCTCCTTAGTTCAGGGTGGCATATAAACCCGTTGCCTGGTGGGGAGCCTCCTGTCTTCGGGGTTCCTGTAGACACCAATTACTGTTTTTTTCTCTAGTTAATCTGTCTTATGTCAGTTTAATTATTAGACCAGCCAAAAAGACCTAAAAGGAAGAAGGGAAAAGTTTTCCTCCCCTACAGTTCCTGTGTCCTTACAAAGGTTCTCAGTTCTAAAACTAACAGAGCTGAGTCACAAAGACCAGAATTACTTGGGTGATTGATGGAGTTTAATTACACCAGTGGAGCAAAAAGACAACCTGAAGCAATAGTAGCTGATGACTAGTAGGGAGAGCTAGTCAGTACATGCAGGGGTCTGGGACATGCGGATTGAGCGGTGTGGAAAACAGCAAACACAGACAGTATGCAGGGAGAAGGGGCACAGCTGCAAAAGAGCAGTATCACCCTAGAAAGATGGCATCAGAGGCTGTGCGGTGGGGAGGAAAAGCCGTTGGCTATCCAAGAGGTCCTTGTTCCCACGTGGCAGAAATTTCGATCATCAGAGTTATTTCTAGTTTAAAAACAAAAGGCCCTGAAAGGCATAAATTGCATGTACATTTATCTGTATCTGCTGCCTAGCCAATGATAGTTATTTCCTGAGACAACGAAAGTTGAGGTTTTTGTTTATTTTTCGTTTGTTTTTAAAGAAAGTGGAGAAAGTGAGCAATGTGTCATTAGGTGGATTGCTGAATGGAACCGTGTTCTTCTACCCTGATCACCTGTAGGCTCACATTTCATGATAGTCATCAACTTAACCTCATCCTGACCTCTGCTACTCTGCGTAAAGTCATAAATAGAGCAGACAATTGGCTTTGCAAGTACTTCAGGCCACTCCAGGGCAATTTATCTTACAAACTAAACTCTAGCATTTAACAGAATAGAACAATACTGGCAAAACGTGGCCCCCCACTATAAAATACTTAAACTTTGCTCCTCCTCTCCTCTGTTCTTCCATACTTTTATATTCCTACTTAAATAATCAACTAAAATGGTTCTTGCTCCTTGTAGTCTTCCTTAATTTCCCAAGTCAGCATTCTTCTTCTCTCCTGTGTTCCTATGACGCTTGATTTACTTATCTGTTATATTTATTTAATTGTCTTAACTCCACCACATTATAAAAAATATACTCTTACAAAAGTAAGGCTTCACTCATCTGTGACGCTTCCCAAGGCCACCTTCAGGCTTATCTAACTCAAGGATATTTTCTCAGAACTTGATCCAGTTTATCACTTTGGTCTATATTTTTTATTGTAATTTTCTTTGATCTCCATCTAACTGACCTGGTTATAGTAGTCAACAAATGAGTGTTTGTAATAAATGATTCCGGGGACCATAATCTATGTATACATCATATTCAAAATTCAAAATTAGGAGTCTGAAGGTGTAAAATTGTCCCGGCCTAAAAGAGGAATATACAAAATAAAGTACTGGGTGTCTGCTGGACTTTCACTGAGTCTCCTAAAAGTGCAGCAGCTATGAAATCAACATCAGATTCTATAGGAACTGAATCAAAAACAAATAATACTGGTCAGCAAACAGGTATCTGGTCTGTAAGAGCAAAAGGCAGAAAGAAAAGTGATGGCTTTGAAGGATATCGGCACTTCCACATACTTTCATCTGTGTATAATGTGAAACTACAGAAGCTGCTTTTTGGTATTATAAGCAACAGTCTCTACCCCAGGGAGGCACGTTGACCCAAAAAGATGAAAAATAAAAAAAAAAGAAGAAGAAAGAAAAAAGATCTAGAGCATTATTCCAATTGGCGTAAATGTTGCCACAAGGGAATTTTGAAATATGTTTTTATTGTACCTATCACCACGAACATCATAGATAATGGCTTATATCCAGATACCAATGGTATCATCTGGAAATGTTGGCACTCCGCGGTTGAATAGTCTGTATATGATTACAGCTCCAACGATTTGCAGAAGTGTTATGGTGACACTGACACAACACCATGCACTCTGTCATTCTTTTATCAAACATTTATGGTTTCTGTTGCGGGGGCTGAATTTTTCTCTGTTTTTCAAGGTTCTTTTGGCTGATCTAATGACGGAATTGACATAAAACAGATTGACAGGAGAAAATCAAATTTAGCTTTGTACATTTAGGAACCCCACATATATTGAGACATTTAAAGACAAAAAGGTAAAGTGAGGTGTATGTGCCTTCCTGAGCTAAGCAATGGGATGGGAGTCTTAGGGCTTCAAAGAGGAGGAGTGCATTTCACAGGGCAATTAGAAAAAGAGCACACGTTTGGTCAGTAGATGTTTGCCTTGCGGTACAGATGGGTCGGTCAGATAAAATTCATCTCTGATAATAGCTCTTATTCTGGGAAAGACACCCAGCTTAGATTCTTCTAGGTAGTTATGGGGGAAACAAAAGTTTCTCTTGAGCCTGCAGAGTCTCACTTGTATCCTGCTCAAGGTTGTCCACATGCCAAGAGAGCACATTCTAGGGAGACTTGTTCTGAACATTTTCATTTCCTTTGTATCTAGGAACTAAGGGCACCCATTTGCACGAGATGCAAACAAACAGATAAATACACATGCTCCTAGGAATAATGGAAGCCATTACTTTTGATTCTATCTGGAAAGGAAAAGACCGGGAAAAGGAGGAGCCTGACCTAGTTTCAGGAATGATTAGCTTGCTAAATAGGTGGAGACGGGTGGGGAAGGAGAGGTTTTGCAGACAGAGGGAATGAGTACAAAGGCCCAGAGGTGTGAACGGATAGGTAGGGCCAGGGAGATCTAAGTAGAAAGATTTTGCTGAAGCACAAAGTTCAGTGGACAGAATTGCAATTAGAAGTTTGAAGATGTAGGCAGGAGGGCCTTGTTTTGACATTGGACTTTATCCTACTGGCTAGTGGCTCTCTTTCGCGTGCATAAGAATCACCTGGGGAGCTTGTTAAGCTGTCCCACCCCTGATTTTCAGTAAGTCTAGGGTGACATCCAGAAAATGTTTTTAGCAGAAGTCCTCAGCGACATTTTTGAGGTAGTTTTTGTTCATACCTTGAGGAAAGAGCTACAGTAATTGGAAGATGTTTAGGCATTCTAACCAGGAGCACAACATTCCTCAGGATAACTTGGGGTGGGAGGAAGGAACCTGGATGCCCTTGATTTGATCTGTTCAGTAAAACCCTTGGTCTGGGAGTAAAGAGACCAAGTTCAGTTTCCTTACTAACTAGCTGTGCTTCTTCAGAGTAGTTCATCTAATTTATCGGACTCTCATTTGCATCTTTCGTTAAAGAATAATATGGCGAAGCTTCCTTGGAAGTAAGATAAAAAGTAAAGCTAAAAATGCTTTAAAAATGCTTATGCTTTATGCCCCTCTAATGGCAGTTTTATGGTTTTAAACTATGCAAATGTTACAGGCTGATTAGATCCAGGAAGCGACCCAAATTAGTAGTATTAATGGATACCAGCCAACACTGAAGTTCACGTTTTTGAAAACACTGTCTTTCCTTTTACTTTTAAATGGTGTAGACGTCAAGGAGTGCATACAGTTACTTGTTCTAGTTAAAGATCAAGGTAAGCTTTTCTCCTCATTAATTTTATTATCTGCCACATTTAGAACTGGAAAAGATATCCATTTTAATTATTTATGATATTTTTTAAATGCTCCAATAGTTTTAGTGCAACAGCTTTTAATGATTTATCTATAATGCATTGATATGCTAAGAATGTCTTCATGCCATTATCTATATTGCTTAGCTTTTCTGAACCTTTGTTTCATTTTATAGGTTGCCTAGTAGTTTGTAGAACAAAGTTTGATTTCTGGCTTTGTGAATACCTATGAAAATTTCAAGGGACTGCTTCTTTCATGCCTGAGTAAAAAGCTAAAAATTCAGACTTTTCAGTTAGCATTCCTCTTAATACACTGGTAGAGCAAAATCAATGAGTTTGTTTAATTTAGAATAAGTGATTTAACCTCTTGGGGCCTCAGTGTCTTCTACACTTATTTTCAAATAAGTAAATGTCTGGAATTTTTTTAAACCTGGCAACGTATTTATTTAAACATCACGTCAGTGGGATTGAAGTCACAAGTTCATAAATCACATGACAGGTATTTCTTTTTCCTCTTTGTTTCAAGGCTACAGATCACAAGCGGTTAGCCATCTTGCAAATACATCGATTATGTATCAGAAGACTCAAAAAATAATAAGCCAAAACACTGGGAAATGAATGAAAACACTTTGCTCTTTGTTTTGGAACAGCCACTGAGAGTATCCTTAATCATGAGGCTAATTGCTTAGAATTTAAATATGGGGCAGCCCAGGTGGCTTGGCGGTTTAGCACCACCTTAGGCCCAGGGCCTGATCCTGGGGTCGCCAGGATCAAGTCCCATGTCGGGCTCCCAGCATGGAGCCTGCTTCTCCCTCTGCCTGTGTTTCTGCCTCTCTCTTTCTCTCTGTTTTTCATTAATAAATAAAATCTAAAAAAATAATAAAAATAAATAAATAAATAAATAAATAAATAAATAAATAAATAAATAAATATGGGTTCTCAGAACAAAAGAGGAAAGACATGGTCAGAACTCCCCATTGGTATCCTCCTAATAATTTCCTCACCGTTAGAAATTCAAATAGCTAAGAGATACTTTATGCAAAAATTGCCAGGAGTTGTTACAAGCATTTTGAATACATGACCTCATTTAATTATCTCAAAACCTCTACAAATATGAATATGCCTCCAATTTTTAGATTGGGGACACTGATGCACAGAGGTGTCGGGCATCTTTCCCAAGGTAACACCAGTGGCTAGACAGTAGAGCTGGGATTCATACCGAAGGAGTCTGACTCTAGGACCAGCCCCTGTAACAACATCTCATTAGACTGGATCAGTCTCTCTCGATTTGGACACACGCAAACAAACAGATTTTGTCATCGGTCACAAGCAATCACTTAAATTTTTGCCAACACGTGATGTTCCCAGTTTCCGTGATCTCTGCCAAGGTAATAACAGTGGGCTGTGAATTATGTAGAATGAAAATACCATCTCTTTATTTTCTGTACAAAAAGCAG